GATGGAGTTCACCTACAACAACAGTTATCATTCGAGTATTGGTATGGCACCATTTGAGGCACTTTATGGGAAATCTTGTCGTACGCCTTTATGTTGGTCAGAGGTTGGCGAAAGAGTTGTAGTGGGCCCTGAGATTGTGGATGTGACTACTCAAAATGTTCAAGTAATTAAGTCTAACCTGAAAATGGCCCTAGATCGACAAAAGAGCTTAGCAGACAAGCATGCCACTGATCGAAAGTGTAATGAAGGTTATTGGGTATTTCTAAAGCTATCACCTTGGAAAGGTGTTGTAAGATTTGGGAAGAAAGGAAAGTTGAGTCCTAGGTACATTAGACCATATATGATCACCGAGCGAGTCAGTGAGGTTGCTTACAGACTTGAGTTGCCTCTAGAGTTGTCCAGGGTGCACGATGTATTTCATGTTTCAATGTTTCATCATTATGTTTCAAATCCTTCACATGTGATTCCTCCTCAACCTTTGGAAATTAATCCAGGTTTGAAATATGATGAGGAATCAGTGATTCTTTTGGATTGGAAGGATAAGGAAATAAGGAATAAGACCATGAGCTTGGTGAAAGTATTATAGAGAAATCATTCAGTGGAAGAAGCTACTTGGAAGACAGAGGATCGGATGAGAGAGATGTACCCACGCTTGTTTTATGATTATTAGTGGATATATTTGTTATGTGTAATTTCGAGGATGAAATTTTATAAGGTGGGTAGATTGTCACAGCCCGTCCCGAGAAATAATTATCGTGGTTATCAAAAGACGAATTTACCCTTGAGCATCGGGTGTGTGTTTTTATTTTGGGTTAAGAAATTGGGTCAATTAGTTATATCCCTAACTAATTGGACCCAATTAGAACTAAAAGATTAAAGAGTTTTGATTGGTGTGCATTTTGGAACCACTCACACATCCATACCCTTTCTCTTTCTTCTCTCCCGTACTCTCTCTCTCTCTCTCGGACTCACCCTCTCCTCTCTCTCCTCCGTACGGACAACCTTGGACCAAGCCAAATCTTCACAAATTGAGAGTGTGAAGCACACCATTGTGTTCCTTGTTCCATTACGAGTTCAAAGGTACCCATTTTGAGTAAGAACTCGTCTGATATCACGTTGAAAACTCAAGCTCCAAGTTGAGCACTATTCATGAACTTTGAAATGGTTATGTTTTAGGACAATCCAAGCTCACAGCAAGCTCTAGGAGGTTCTCACGAAGCTTGGAGTGCTTCGTTGGCTCGGTTTTGACGTTGGGATCACGAGGTTCGAAGGTGGCCGGTTTTGGTAGGATTCCCAACAAGTTTTCGAGGGATTTGAAGCTCCAAAGAGGTATAACCTTCTTCCTCTCGTAATTTGTGGCATTTTGGTGAAAATTTTATGGAAAATGGTGCAAAAACGAGCGAGAAAAAGGCAGTTACAATTCTGCCCAGAATCCGACGCTGGGGACACTGTTCTAGCGTCTGGAGGTTGAAGATGATGCACGTGAGGCCGTGCCCTCCCCGGCGCGTGAAGGCGCGTGAGCCACAGAAAAATTATTTTAAAAATATCACAATGTTCGTGAGGTTGTGTAGGTCACGTTGGTATATTCAAATACCAAAATTGAGCTTTGTATGAGAAGTTATTAGCTAGTTTTACCTATGTGCTTTAAAATAATGTTTTTATAGTCAATTCGCATATAGGTGAGATGTATCCCGAGGACGAGCGTATCCAAGGGTGACTCGGGGTCTACGACCTTTCGACATACCAATGAGTGGGCTTTTGGTATTCGGTATATATTATATACTTGATATTTTCCCAGAAAAATGTGTTTAAATGATAGTATGCCATAATACCATGCATATAAGTTTATAATTCATACATGAATTGGTATGTGATGCTTTATATATATATATATATATATGTGTGTGTGTGTGTGTGATGATGTGGACGTTCAGGTAAGCTCAGGTAAGTTGTATTTGGTTATGTGAATCATCGATGAGGTAATACGTGATTGATTAATGTTAAGCTCATAAAACTGCACTTAGGGTGATTGTGATTTAGCCATAGATATGGCACATGCCTGTTTATTATGTCACCTCCCGCACCATATGTTCATATTAGATCCAATTTAGGTGCACAGTCCTGTCGTACAGACCTTATTTATGGTTCCGACTCATAGGTGACTAGCAATTTATCGCCCAGTTATTATGTAAGAGTAGTATTGAGCATGATTGTATTACACCCATTATTGTCATATAGACCTTTTGTTTGGTTCCGACTCTTGTGCAGTATATTGTCGTATAGGTCATAGTAGTGACTCCGGCTAGAGCGACTTTTGGAGCTATGAATTCAGTCGTACAGACTACCATAGGGGTTCCGGCTCACATGTTATATTTCTATGAAATTATCCTTACCTGAATTGCTTACTCTATTATATCTTGGCATGGCATATATATATGATTATGATTATGTGATACATGAATTGAATTGATATGATTTCATATATATTTATGTATATGCTTATATCTTGATTCTGGGAACAATTATACATGTTTTACAGCGAGGGGTTAGTTATGTTGATAAATGAAATGGTTTTGTAAAACATTTGTTTTTGCCCACTCACGCTTTCTGTTTTGCGCCCCTCCATGTTTTAAGTAAGCTTGTTGTTGGTGGCTTGAAGGCGTCGACAGTTCTGACCTACCTAAATAATAGTAGGACATTCCTGGTACTGTATAACTAGTACTTGTCCTACTGGACTGCACCTAGACTTATTATGCTCTGATTAGGAGTGTTTACTGTTGTAACTAACTCCTATCACTTCCTGTTTAGTAGTGCACTCTAGTAATTCGGCTTTTAATTATTCATATATTTCTTATCTATATTGCTTCCGCACTATGCACATGGCTACGTCACTCTTACATGATGGCCAACATGCCTTGATCTCAATCGGGGTGTGTCACAATAGGTAAATTAAAATTCATAAAAAAAAAGTAGTAGATATATATATATATATATTTTTTTTTTTTAATCAACTTACATACCTTTATTTTGTAGGTAAATAATTTTACATGGATTATTACATATATTGGGCACATTTGAGTAATATATATGTGCAATTATACTTTATTATATCAAATGTAGATAAATTAATATTGAATCAAATAACTTTTTTTATTTATTTTGCAGATAAATTATTTTGCATGTATTATTACATATACTAGGAATATTTTATTACTAACACATATGTCCAAATAATTTACCTATGTTTTTATGTAAATTACTGATTACGCCATAGTTCTCTTTCAATTTCCATTTGGTAAGAAAATGACAAGATTAAATTAAAAATTTTATTTATTTATTTATTTATTTAAAGGAAAGTATAACATTAATGTTTTTTTTTTTCCAGAAGCATTAACATACAATTTGTTATGATATATTAATATGCAATGAATTTAAACATTAATACATTTTTTTTTTCATTAATCCCTCCCTTCAAATTTGCATAGAATTAAATGTATACATTAAAATTGTAATTATGGGTATTTTAGGCATCTGAAAAATGCAAAATGTGTAAAGCCAAACAGAATTAATGAATTTGCTTATGTGGAGCCTAGTCATTGGGTTTTATTCAAGTAAAAAGACTATGTCGGGTTTTATGTAAAGAAACTTAAGTTTCAAGGGCTAAAATCATATTTTCAGTAAAATTTATTTAGCGCATGGTGTTCGATTCCAATCTACCATGGGTTAGGCCTGTGATTATTGTCTAATTGACAATGCACTTTGACCATAGTAACTTTTTATCATGTCTAGATTCTTAATGGGCACAATGTCCATGATAGATTGCAATTTATCACAGACATCTATTGTTGTAGATGTGGGTTTGTCTTCTAGTGAAACTGACATTACCAACTCACCTACATTGACGGAATCTAGCCGAAATTGAGTTGGCCAGTTCTCTTTAAATTAGGCGAAAAACGGAGCAGTTAGGGTTTGAACTGCATATCACATATTTGGAGCATATCTTTACATGCAATAGGTGTAGAAGGTAGCTAAGGTGATCAGTAGTTGTTTGAGACCAACCTAGAGGCATTTTGTTGCCTGAATCATCAAACTGGTCGCTAGTCGTTGGTCGCCACTGTGTTTTTTGTCAATCCCGGAGAGAAGAGCTATAGAGAAGGGAGAAGGAAGAGTTTGAAGAGAGGGTTTGGTTTTGGTTGGTTTGAGGTTTGAGAGTTTTTAGGTATCGCAGAGAGAAGAGCGAAGAACGAAGAACAAGAGCGAATGAGTGAAAGCAAAATGAGGAGAAAAATCGTACTCCACTGTACTTATGAACAGTGATTCATGTTTGAATTTTAATATTGACTAATCACACTTAGAATTTTGGATCTAAATATTTAGATGGATCTACGCAAGGCGACCGATCTAGTAGGTATATTGGAACTAAGGTTAAGTAGAGTAGATAGCTAGGTAGGCATACCAATATACAAATGCTACTTGGTTGATTTAATTCATCTTTCTTGATGAGTTCTTGTATTGTATGCTTTGACATGACATCATTTATTCATAAGTTAGACGAACAACCTTTAATATTAACACTTTAATATTAACATAATAATATTGTCATAGGTGGTACATTATCCTTAGGTTAATCATCAACTTATCTTCTTCATAATTAATAAGTTTTCTTGCATATCACTTTATCGCTTCCTTTTCAATTTTCACTTCTAGTTTGTTAGAAACATCAAATATAATATCCCTTTTTGTGCTTCCAGTACTTCCGTGTTTAATGTACTAGTTCGTCTAAATTAAAAGTGGTTTGAAAGGTAATTAAATTAGGTTAAGAGTTTTTTTTTTTTTGTTTTTTTGGGAAACTGGTTGAGAGTTAAATTTGAAGTTAAAATCCCAATATCAGTGGCAATAATCACCTTGTGCGTCATACTACTACCATTAATATTGTGCACTTACGAGTATAATTTGTGTTTGGACTAATATCTGTGTTGCACTAAAAAGCGAAGGTTGATATCAGACTTATAGAAATTCTCAGTTCAAATCATAGCCATGAAGTTTAAGGGGGGAGTACATAAAGTTTCGTGCCTCAAACATCAATTAGCCTTATATACATATAGCTGATCATCAAGAGGCTGCATCATCACTTGACAATCCTTTAAACAAGGAGGTGGTAGGTGACTAGTGTCCTCATCAAGCTCCCTGAGTTCGTCAAAAGAATTAGGTGGAAAAGGAGTGTGACCAGAGCCGCCTTGATATGGTCTTTGAGTGATCTCTTCTGCTTGAAATCCAAACCGCATACACAAAGCCAGCGCTTGCCACAATTCTTCTCATGTGTTCTCCAGTCACCTTTCACCGCCAACAACTTGCCACACTTGCGACACATAAAAGGTTTCATTCCATGCTTCCTCTTGTAGTGCGTTTGAAGGGTCTGGAAATCTTTTAGGGGTTTTGCTCTTGGGTGGTCGATGCTGTTCTTGCATCCTTCAGCACAACAATAGCATGGGATGCCTAACATGGCTCACGGTTTGTGTTCCCTTTAGTGACTCTGGCCCCCTACGATATTGTGATCCATGCCCCCACATGTGCATCTACTGTTGGAAATTTAAGTTGTTTGAGTAGAAATTTTTTTGTCCCACATTGGTTATTCCCAAAAGATTTTATCACTTTATAAAGCTTTGTCATTTATATAAAGAAATTGGATTCACCCTTGGAGTTGGGCTTTAGGGTGCACTAATTAATTGATAATTAATATATAATTAATTATAATTAATATATATATATATATAATTAATTACTTATCAAAAGACGGGCCTTAGGGCTCTTGGGCATTAATGAAGTTAATAAAAAACACAGAGAGCACTGCACCCCATCTGAAGAGATGTCTCCCAACAGTCACATCTCATTCTTATACATGTTGCGAACAGGCATAATCTCACTATATATACATCTGTCTGCATGGCATTTAGAAAGAAGAAAAAATAAATCTCCTTCTATAATCCATAGCATTCTTACTGAGAGTACCAAAAGGAAATTCGCCTGAAGTTAAGTTTTCTGGTGCTGGAATTCTAACTTGATAGTTCAATCCTGGTGAAACAGATCTAACTTGATAGTTCAATCCTGGTGAAACAGATGCCCGGAGAACTACAAGCACTGAGTAGGGGCGAAATTTCTGTTTCTAGGACATTGCGGTACGCAAGCCTCGATCTTTAATATTTATGTTTAATATTAGTTCATTCATCATACACTGTTTATTTATTAGCACATATAAATTTATCATAGATTATTAACATACATCCAACATCTACCATAGTAATATTTACATATTGCTTCATATTGGAATCAAATATCTGTAGCAACGTAAGAATATTTATATACAAGCTCATATGCGAATTTTGTGAACAAAATTGAAGCCCCTTCGATATGCATGTCTCGAAGTTTTCGTTGGGAAACTCAAGCTTATTTAATTGGCTAAAAGGAGTATAGGTTTCGAAACCAAGGAGTATGGCTGAATGGGGTTTTGGCTTTGAAATCAGAGAATTTGGCCAGTCCAAGTTATTAAGTTCGAGTCCAAAACCTATTTAAGAAGTAGGGAAGGGACTTCAATTTGTTCCACAAACGATTGCCATTGTGTTAGATGTAACCATCTTTTAGACAAATAAACAACTTTTGGTAGCATATTTACAAATCTGTGTATAGACACATGCAAAAACCAATGTGTCTGCATGAATATGTGCACTTGAATGGTTCTATACCGTGTATGCATACAACAACAACAACAACAAAGCCTTTTCCCACTAAGTGGGGTCGGCTATATGAATCCTAGAACGCCATTGCGCTCGGTTTTGTGTCATGTCCTCCGTTAGATCCAAGTACTCTAAGCCTTTTCTTAGAGTCTCTTCCAAAGTTTTCCTAGGTCTTCCTCTACCCCTTCGGCCCTGAACCTCTGTCCCGTAGTCACATCTTCGAACCAGAGCGTCAGTCGGCCTTCTTTGCACATGTCCAAAACACCGGAACCGATTTTCTCTCATCTTTCCTTCAATTTCGGCTACTCCTACTTTACCTCGGATATCCTCATTCTCAATCTTATCCTTTCTCGTGTGCCCACACATCCCACGAAGCATCCTCATCTCCGCTACACCCATTTTGTGTACGTGTTGATGTTTCACCGCCCAACATTCTGTGTCATACAACATCGCTGGCCTTATTGCCGTCCTATAAAGTTTTCCCTTGAGCTTCAGTGGCCTACGATGGTCACACAACATGCCGGATGCACTCTTACACTTCATCCATCCAGCTCGTATTCTATGGTTGAGATCTCCATCTAATTCTCCGTTCTCTTGCAAGATAGATCCTAGGTAGCGAAAACGGTCGCTTTTTGTGATCTTCGCTAGATTGCTCCGGTCATTAGTGTGGATAAGTATATAAATGGATAGAGATAGGAAAGCAAACACAAGATGTACGTGGTTCACCCAGATTGGCTACGTCCACGGAATAGAAGAGTTCTCATTAATTGTGAAGGGTTTACACAAGTACATAGGTTCAAGCTCTCCTTTAGTGAGTACAAGTGAATGATTTAGTACAAATGACATTAGAGTACAAATGACATTAGGAAATATTGTGGGAGAATGATCTCGTAATCACGAAACTTCTAAGTATCGGAGTGTGGTATCATCTTGACTTGCCTTATCTGTCTCATAGGTAGATGTGGCAGCTTCTCTGGAAGTACTCTTCCTCCATCCAGGGGTGGTATTTTTAACTGGTGGAGATGCACAAGGTAATGTATCAATTTCACTTGAAGCTTACTTGTAGTTTCAGGCTTGGTCAAGCGCGATACAAACCATGTAGTAGGAGTCCCCCAAGTCGCCGAGCTAGGGAATCTGCTGAAAGAGATGACAGACAAGGTAAGCAATCAGAGCTCCGGCTGATTGTTCACCTTCTCCCCATCTTGCAGCAGCATGAAGGATAAAGAGAAGAAAAATGAGAAGAGATGATATGGGATACTTTTGCTTTTGAAGAAGTAACTTTCCACAGGCTTATTCTTGAACTGAGCTGGAGGATTTTCTGGTTTCCTCCAGAGTATAAGGCCGACTGAAGAATTTGAGGGTCAAAACAAGTCCATCAAATCTAGAGTACGTTCGACCCTGCTGATATGGGATACTTTTGCTTTTGACAGAGTAATGGAAGTATCGGCACGTGTGCTGTTCCGCTTGTCTCCACATGCTTCCTTGTATCCTTCGCACTTGCCCTATCTGTTCCTCAAGCAGATGCGGTATCTTCCCTGGAAACATAAGCTATTGAAGATGAGTACTCGAGAGCAATGCCAGGTAAGTAATCAGGTAAGGGGTTCCAGGCAGTCAGTTCCTGGCTGGGAGCTTGATTTCAAGTGCTGACTGATTGCTCTCTTTCTCCTTGTCTTGCAGGTAAAAACAAGGCCAAAGGAAAAGACAGGGAAAAAGCATGATATGAGATACTCTTGCTTTTAACCCTGATGATATGAGATATTCTTGCTCTAGTATAGCTTGTTTGCAGAGGTATTATCGGGGGGAAAGAAAGCAGAATATTTCGAAAGGCTTCGTTGGGAGTGCCCTCTCAGATATGAGGAAGGGTTGAGCATTTTTGCAGGTCTGCCTGTCCGTTGGGGATGGAGGTCGACATATATAGGAGTCTCCCTAACAACAAGTAGTAATGTTATTCCTTTACCCTGCTTGGTCATAGCACGGTAGTGGGGGCTGCCAGCTTCACATGTTTTAACTCTGTCAGAGCACTTTGAAAAAGTGGTATGTGGTATCTGGCTCTCGAGATTCGGAGAACGATGCTTCTTCGATTTTTGAGAAAGCAATCATGCTGGGGGTCTGGCTCTCGAGATTCGGGGAGCAGAGTCTCTTCGATTTTTGAGAAAGTAATCATGTTGGGAGTCTGGCTCTCGAGATTCGGAGGGCGGTGCCTCTTCGATTTTGGAGTAAGCAATCTTGTTGGGAGTATTTTCTCGGATGTGAGTAAAGGTTGGGCATGTTTGCTAGTCTACCTTGCCACGAAGCACGGAGGTTGACACACAGGGACTTTCCAATTATCCAGCAGTGGTACTGTGCCTTTACCCTTGTGGGTAATAATATGGTAGCTAGACCTTCAAAATTTATGTGTCTAAACTTTGTTAGTGCTGTTTCTTTGCTATTCTTTTACCTTTCTTGGTCAGAGCGATGTAGTGGGAGCTGCAAGCTTCACGTGCTCAACTTTGGCAGAGACTTTGGCAAAGTTATCTGTGGTACCCATGAGCTATTGTTGCGTGTGGGAAGTGGGTGATTGAACAGTAAGATTCATGTGCTTTCTACTTCACCAGAAGTCTTCGACAGAATGCCCATAATTTCCGCAAAGCTGAGTGTGCGTGTGACAGGTGCTGACAAGGCTAGAAAAGTAGGTGCCTCTTCGATTTCTGAGATCGGCCCTCGTGGTCTCTGAGCAGCCCAGCTTTTGAGAAAGCGAGCGCCTCTTCGATTGATTCGGAGAACGATGCCTCTTCGATTTTTGAGAAAGCAATCATGCTGGGGGTCTGGCTCTTGAGATTCGGGGAGCAGTGTCTCTTCGATTTTTTAGAAAGTAATCATGTTGGGAGTCTGGCTCTCGAGATTCGGAGGGCGGTGCCTCTTCGATTTTGGAGCAAGCAATCTTGTTGGGAGTGTTTTCTCGAATGTGAGTAAAGGTTGGGCATGTTTGCTAGTCTACCTTGCCACGAAGCACAGAGGTTGACACACAGGGACTTTCCAATTATCCAGTAATGGTACTGTTCCTTTACCCTCTCTTCGATTTTTAGAAAAGTAGTCATGTTGGGAGTCTGGCTCTCGAGATTCGGAGGACGGTGCCTCATCGATTTTGGAGCAAGCAATCTTATTGGGAGTGTTTTCTCGAATGTGAGTAAAGGTTGGGCATGTTTGCTAGTCTACCTTGCCACGAAGCACAGAGGTTGACACACAGGGACTTTCCAATTATCCAGTAATGGTACTGTTCCTTTACCCTCTCTTCGATTTTTGAGAAAGTAGTCATGTTGGGAGTCTGGCTCTCTAGATTCGGAGGACGGTGCCTCATCGATTTTGGAGCAAGCAATCTTATTGGGAGTGTTTTCTCGAATGTGAGTAAAGGTTGGGCATGTTTGCTAGTCTACCTTGCCACGAGGCACAGAGGTTGACACACAGGGACTTTCCAATTATCCAGCAGTGGTACTGTTCCTTTACCCTTGTGGGTAATAATATGGTAGCTAGACCTTCAAAATTTATGGGTCTAAACTTTGTTAGTGCTGTTTCTTTGCTATTCTTTTACCCTTCTTGGTCAGAGCGATGTAGTGGGAGCTGCAAGCTTCACGTGCTCAACTTTGGCAGAGAACTTTGGCAAAGTTATCTGTGGTACCCATGAGCTATTGTTGCGTGTGGGAAGTGGATGATTGGACAGTAAGATTCATGTGTTTTCTACTTCCCCAGAAGTCTTCGACAGAATACCCATAATTTCCGCAAAGCTGAGTGTGCGTGTGACAGGTGCTGACAAGGCTGGAAAAGTAGGTGCCTCTTCGATTTCTGAGATCAGCCCTCGTGGTCTCTGAGGAGCCCAGCTTTTGAGAAAGCGAGCGCCTCTTCGATTTCTGAGATCGACTTTCGTGGTCTTTGAGCAGCCCAACTTTTGAGAAAGCAAACACCTCTTCGATTTATGCGATCAACCCTCGTGGTCTCTAAGCAGCCCAGCTTTTGAGAAAGCAAACGCCTCTTCGATTTCTGAGCAGGCGCCTCTTCAATGTCTGAAGCTCCGTCGAGTGCAGCTTTTTATAGGGGCTAGCATTAAGTTCCAAAGCACACTTGAATCTCCACCAGTAGAAGCTCCATTCTTGCACTTCTAAGATCTTGATTTGTCCGACCTCTTCTCTCTTCAACACCTTTGAAAATGTCTGGCCCCTCCGACCGTCGTTTTGACTTGAACCTTGTTGAAGAGGCAGCCCCGCCTTCTCCAGACAACATATGGCGCCCATCCTTCGTCTCCCCTACTGGTCCTCTTACCGTTGGGGATTCCGTGATGAAGAATGATATGACCGCTGCGGTGGTGGCCAGGAACCTTCTCACTCCCAAAGATAACAGACTACTTTCCAAACGGTCTGATGAGTTAGCTGTTAAGGATTCGCTGGCTCTCAGTGTTCAGTGTGCAAGTTCTGTGTCTAATATGGCCCAACGCCTATTTGCTCGAACCCGCCAAGTTGAATCATTGGCGGCCGAAGTGATGAGTCTCAAACAGGAGATTAGAGGGCTCAAGCATGAGAATAAACAGTTGCACCGGCTCGCACATGACTATGCTACAAACATGAAGAGGAAGCTTGACCAGATGAAGGAAACTGATGGTCAGGTTTTACTTGATCATCAGAGATTTGTGGGTTTGTTCCAAAGGCATTTATTGCCTTCGTCTTCTGGGGCTGTACCGCGTAATGAAGCTCCAAATGATCAACCTCTGATGCCTCCTCCTTCTAGGGTTCTGTCCAGTACTGAGGCTCCGAATGATCCCCCTCCGATGCCTTCTCTTTCTGAGGCTGTACCGACTGCTGAGACTTCTCCTAAGCAACCTTTGTGAAGGCTCCATCTTGTTTGTTTATTTTGACTCATGTATATGTACACATTTGTAGCTTATCGGGGATATCAATAAATAAGCTTTTCTTCATTTCAACGTATTGTGTTAAATACACCAAAGCCTTCTTCGCTAAGTTCTTTGAATTTTCTTTTGTTGAAGCTTGTATGTTGAAGCTTTCTGAGTGGAGCATGTAGGTTGGGGTAGTGTTCTCTTAATTTTCCGAGTGAGGAAAACTTCTCGGTTGGAGACTTGGAAAATCCAAGTCACTGAGTGGGATCGGCTATATGAATCTTAGAACGCCATTGTGCTCGGTCCTGTGTCATGTCCTTCGTTAGATCCAAGTACTCTAAGTCTTTTCTTAGAGTTTCTTCCAAAGTTTTCCTAGGTCTTCCTCTACCCCTTCGGCCCTGAACCTCTGTCCCATAGTCGCATCTTCTAATCGGAGCGTCAGTAGGCCTTCTTTGCACATGTCCAAACCACCGTAACCAATTTTCTCTCATCTTTCCTTCAATTTCGGCTACTCCTACTTTACCCCGGATATCCTCATTCCTAATCTTATCCTTTCTCGTGTGCCCACACATCCAACGAAGCATCCTCATCTCCGCTACACCCATTTTGTGTACGTGTTGATGCTTCACCACCCAACATTCTGTGCCATACAGCATCGCCGGCCTTATTGCCGTCCTATAAAATTTTCCCTTGAGCTTCAGTGGCATACGGCGGTCACACAACACGCCAGATGCACTCTTCCACTTCATCCATCCAGCTTGTATTCTATGGTTGAGATCTCCATCTAATTCTCCGTTCTTTTGCAAGATAGATCCTAGGTAACGAAAACGGTCGCTCTTTGGTATTTCTTGATCTCCGATCCTCACCCCTAACTCGTTTTGGCCTCCATTTGCACTGAACTTGCACTCCATATATTCTGTCTTTGATCGGCTTCGGCGAAGACCTTTAGATTCCAACACTTCTCTCCAAAGGTTAAGCTTTGCATTTACCCCTTCCTGAGTTTCATCTATCAACACTATATCGTCTGCGAAAAGCATACACCAAGGAATATCATCTTGAATATGTCCTGTTAACTCATCCATTACCAACGCAAAAAGGTAAGGACTTAAGGATGAGCCTTGATGTAATCCTACAGTTATGGGAAAGCTTTCGGTTTGTCCTTCATGAGTTCTTACGGCAGTCTTTGCTCCTTCATACATATCCTTTATAGCTTGGATATATGCTACTCGTACTCCTTTCTTCTCTAAAATCCTCCAAAGAATGTCTCTTGGGACCCTATCATACGCTTTTTCCAAATCTATAAAGACCATGTGTAAATCCTTTTTCCCATCTCTATATCTTTCCATCAATCTTCGTAAGAGATAGATTGCCTCCATGGTTGAGCACCCTGGCATGAACCCGAATTGGTTGTCCGAAACCCGTGTCTCTTGCCTCAATCTATGCTCGATGACTCTCTCCCAGAGCTTCATTGTATGACTCATTAGCTTAATACCCCTATAGTTCATGCAATTTTGTACGTCGCCCTTATTCTTGTAGATAGGCACCAAAGTGCTCGTTCGCCACTCATTTGGCATCTTCTTCGTTTTCAAAATCCTATTGAAAAGGTCAGTGAGCCATGTTATACCTGTCTCTCCCAAAACTTTCCACACTTCGATTGGTATATCGTCTGGGCCTACTGCTTTTCTATGCTTCATCTTCTTCAAAGCTACAACCACTTCTTCCTTCCGGATTCGACGATAAAAAGAGTAGTTTCTACACTCTTCTGAGTTACTCAACTCCCCTTAAGAAGCACTCCTTTCATGTCCTTCATTGAAAAGATTATGAAAATAACCTCTCCATCTGTCTTAACCGCATTCTCTGTAGCAAGAACCTTTCCATCCTCATCCTTGATGCACCTCACTTGGTTTAGGTCCCTTGTCTTCTTTTCCCTTGCTCTAGCTAGTTTATAGATATCCAACTCTCCTTCTTTGGTATCTAGTCGTTTATACATATCGTCGTAAGCCGCTAACTTAGCTTCTCTGACAGCTTTCTTCGCCTCTTGCTTCGCTTTTCTATACCTTTCACCATTTTCATATGCATATAAGAGAAAATTTGTACCAAAGATGATTTCTAGTCGGATTGTACCAAAACTTTGAACGAGATCAATTATGTATTGAAACAAAACAATGGTTATATACCTGCAGATTATTGTAATGTTTAAACGTTTTGAAGCAGACATGGCAAGAAAAATGTGTGAAGCCAATGAGTATTCGTTCTGGAGTTGGAATCCAATATTTTTGTGCTGTCACATTATCTTCGTCATCTTTCCAATCAGTCAAATAACTCATAGAGCCATCCGAATAATCTGGAAGACCGATGTGCAAGGCCACAGTGACTTCATCCTCTTTATGATCTTCATTGCATATTGCTTTATGGTTTTCATCTTGGGAATTTGGCACTTGGTCAGGAGAACGAAGTAGGCAGCTTATCAATGGTAGAGGCTCAAGATTAGCATTTGGGATCTCACTAGGAAAAAGATTGAGGGTCTCTAAATTATGGTTTGAAGAAAATAAGGGGGAGGAGCTCGAAGAAATTTCAAAGGGCTCCATTTTATAAGAGTGATTATTAAAAGTGTAATAGAACGCTGCATGTAATTGACTAAAGATCAAGGTTTTTATAATGAGACCATAGCATGAAATATATGCATGGTATCATGAGAGAGAGAGAGAGAGAGAGAGAGAGAGAGAGAGAGAGAGGAGTATAGAGGGGTGGCTGGAGAATATTGCAGTTGAATGAAAGGAACCATTGTTGAGGGGGTCATAACTATGTGCTGTATGGACTGTGTATATCATTGGGGAAAGGAAGGAAATAACCTTAAATTCTGTGGCCCATCTCATCTGAATTTAGCAACAATTGCACCACATAGGGTTGAAAATCCAAGGCAATGTGTATCATCGTGCGGTATGTGCAAATTATATATCCAACAGTCAACCCGCACCAGAAGAGAGAGAGAGTTGCAGGGTGAATCATTAATTTCTAGTTATTTAGGAGCCTATAGACATTTACCTTACGTGCAAGTTTTAGTTAACCTAGCTTATACAGTTGAGTTGTCATCCTAGCTACCTTTGTTTTCCCCCAATATTTGACATGTTATCTTCAGTTTAATTAATTGCGACCTGTTGGAAAATTAAGATTTTGGAAAAATAACCAAAATTTAGACCTTGTATAGAATTATAGTCATTTTTTTAATTTTATGATAATTATAACCAAAAGTTGATATAAACTTACTAATATATCCTTAATAAATAAAAACTTCCTCATATAAAGGAACTGCAGGCCAGAGCTTCTCCTCTTACCTCTAAGAGATCATCCTCCAAAATCTGCAAACTTAATTCGACAGTAGAATGTCCAGTAACTCACTGGAATTGCGAGCTGAAATTGCCCAAGATGCTGTCAACATAATGTAAACATGATAGATCAATTAGATAAAAGTCCCATATATTGGTATGAAAGCAATCAGATATTCAGGAGATTATGATAGATCAATCATTTGTCCACGATGATGTCCTGTCAAGTGAAACCAATCATTTGTTCAAACCCAGGTTTGATCATGCAAGTATTTTTCAGAAAACAATTCAACAAATTTTAACTCAGCAGAATTACAATAACAAGATCAAATTGTACGCCACAAAACTACCAAGATCATATTCAGCATAATTTTTTCAGTCCTAGCTTGCAAACACAAGCATTCAAATTTCAATTAAAACCATCGAAAATTCAATATCTTTTTCATTTCCTTACCTTTCCCACCAACCAAACAGAAGCCAAGAGAATCTGTAAACCAAGAACCAGAAGAAAATTTCTAATCAGCGAGAAAGTGGTTCTGGTTTTAGAAAGAGAGGTTGGCATAGTGAGAGAGAGACAAGGGGAGAAGATGCTAGTTTTTAGTTATTAAGGGTATATTAGTAATTTTATATTAAATTTTTGTTATAATTATCATAAATTTAAAGGGTGGCTATTATTCTATACAAGGTCTAAATTTTGATTATTTTTCCCAATTTCCCTAGAAAATCTTAGTATTTTATGATTATTTGGGTTTGCTTGTTAGTTTAGTTTATCGATGTAACTCATCCAAATTAGGGTTTTTAGGTTTTGCTCTTTATAATATAGCTTATAGTTTAATACAAAGTTAAAGGGGGTGAATTTAATGGGGAATTGGAGGGATTTTAATTCTTTTAATGAATCTAGGGGTATTCAATCAGGATTTTAAGTGATTCTCTGAAATTTAAGGTGTATTCAATTAGAATTTTAAAATAGTTTATTAAAAACCTTAGAAATCAGGATGTATTTAATTAAGATTTTAAAGAAGTTTATAACGTTTTATATGTATTCAATTAGAAATTGATTTTAAAAATTTTAGAAAGTTGAGGAATAAAGGGAATCTGAGAGATTTCGTAGTGTATTTTAAGCATCCACAAATCTCACTCTCCCCATGAAATTTTAAGGGAATTGAATCAAAATTTTATATGGAATCTCTACAAATCAATTCAACTCCATAAAAATTCATGAATTTATAAATCAATTAAAGTCTCTCAAATTCTCAATTGAATACATCTCCTAAATTAATCAAGATGTAACATCTTGCAGTTTTGTAGCTGTTTTGACATTCTCATTTGTTTAAGAATATTCTTTATTAGTGTGTAGTCTTGTTTGATATCACTGGTTGTCTGTCTCGTTTAGGTTTGTGCAAAAATATTTTGGTTTTGTTCTGGGATTTTGTCTTGATTAGGGTTTAGACTATTTATTCGTGGGTAGTTTGAAAAAAAAAAAAAAAAAAAAAAAAAAAGAGTCGGTAAAAGAAAAACTGGAGTCTCGCCGCTAGCTAGCCTACTATGCTGAATCTGCATCGGAACCACAAGTTACACCATCATCGTTGAAGTTTGTTTCTGGAAACCCAGAAATCCCCTGCTCCAAACCACGATCGAGTCGCTGCCCACTACACTCTCCCCGCCTCACCGACCTTCTGCATCATCCCGCCGTCCGTATTCGTCCCTAATGAAGCCCAGATCCGAGAACCACTCGAATCGAGTTCGTCTCCACTTGAAGTCCTGTAAGCCTGCATCACTGACTATCTGATATACCCGCATCAAACCCACCGCCGACCACCAGGTCTACTGTGCTTGTTTTGCAAGTATGAAGAAGACCAAACCTCCTAAAATGGAAGTAAGAAAAAAAAAAGGAAGAGAAAAAAAAGAAAAATAAAATAAATAAACGCAAGGGAAGAGAAAAAAAAATGAAAAGAAAAAGGAACCTAAATATTCGGCTGTTTGTTTTGAGAGGCCCACACGGGTAAGTAAGAATGCAAAAATGATGGACCTTGTTTTGAAGGCCCACATAGTTTGGGTATCTGCCGTTTTTCTTCGCAACGATCACTCGAGTGCTTGGACTTGCGACCACTCGAGTGATGTTGTATACCTAGTTATAAATTGAATCATTTTCTATAATTAGATCGTTTGCTGCCATCTCAGTTCGCTAGTTCTCCATTCACTAGTCAAGTCAATGCCAGTCAAGTTTGCATGCCTACCAGTCCGCCTAACAGAGCCAGTTCGCATCTGCATGTTTCGAAATCAATGTCGTATATCGCCATGAGTTTGATGGGGTGTTGGAAACTATTAGTATTTTATGATTATTTGGGTTTGCTTGTTAGTTTAGTATATGGATCTAGCCCGCCCGAATTAGGGTTTCTAGGTTTTACTCTCTATAAATATAGCTTATAGTTTAGTATGAAGTTAAGTTAGTCAAGATGGAGCCTTTTGCGATTCTGTAACCGTTTCAGCATTCTCGTTTGTTTAATATTATTCTTTATTAGTGTATACTCTTGTTTGTCGCACTCTGATATTCAACTAACCTCACTGCTAGAACATACAACAAAATTATTGTGGTAAGTTATTCTAGTTTATTGTTATTTTCATAATTTTGAACATAATTACTACCTCGTTTCCATTAGAGCTCGAAGAGTTCGAAAATGTAGTTCGAGCTCGAAATACCTAGTTGCCATCCCGACTCATAAGCACCACTACCAAATGAACCAACAATTTGGACTAGAGATTTCGAAAGACCTAGTTACGAAAAATCATATCTTAGGCCTTTTTGTCTTTTGCATGAGATAACATTTATGCATGGACCTAGCCTGTAACGAATGCTTGTTGGAGCCACTAGTAGAAAAAACTATTTAATCGATCAAACTTTACAAGGCGCACCAAATTTCGTTGCGCAAGGGAGGGTATCATTGCACGAAAATGTCATGACCATAAAAAATAAAAAACATAATGCAACGAAGAGTTTCGTCGCGCAAAGCCTTTGCACGAGAAAAGTAACGATTCGGCGTGCAATGTCTAAGAAAAAAGTGGCAAGATGGAGACTTGGCACCAACATCTCGCCCAACGCCCAATTTGCACAAAAATCTTGAGCTATCGAACATTTCGTTGCGCAAAGGTCTCTGAAATGGCCAGTGAGATGATGAGTTGATATTTTACTATATTTTATCATAATCTTAGTATTAATTTATTGGTTTTTTTGGGTGAATTTTGATGCTTTGAATTATATTTCTAATGTAGCACATTTGACTTCCTCTTAAGCATAAAGTAATCAAAAAATGATTGTTTTAAAGTTTCATATTTTTCTACTAAGTTGTTTGACTGTGGCAATGAAACAAAGGTCCAACCCGTAGCTTTCCCAAATTGTCGTTTTTGGATGTTTTGGGCATTTTGGAGGTCAAGATGACATATTTTAAGGAAGATTTGTTCTGAGGATTTCTAGGGACGTCTTCATCTTTCAAAAGAGACCTTTTGGGACCAAATCAGAGTTGATTTGGTCAGTCAAAAGTCTGATTTTCTGAGAAGTCCGAATTTCAGTTCAATTAGGAAACCTTTTATTTGCTAGTTTATTATTTATTATGTTTCCTAGGTTTATTCTAAGACCTTTTCTAGGTAGGGTATTATTTTGTAGTAGTATAAACAAGGCTTTTTTTTTTTTTGGATGAATCCAAGGTATCCCCCGCAGTAGGCGAGGACTAGTCCGTTGAGCTGGGTCGAACTCTAATCGAGGGGCAAGCTCTCCCAGTGTTGGCTTCTTCATTCACAATGCTCGAACTCGAGACCTTACTTAAGGAGAACAAGCTCCTTACCACTTGAACGACCAAGCATTGGTATAAACAAGGCTATTTAGCCATTAGGGAAAACATATCAATTTAGAGAGCTTTTGACGATTCAAGTTTATTTTTAAGGTATTTTCTATCTTTTTTTCTATTTCAATAACATTCCTTTTGTTTTATGGTTGTTCGTAACTAATTTCCGTTTGTTAAGGCGAGGCCACTAACCTTAGCATGAATATGTAGTCTTTATTCAATTGCTTATGATATTCTGCATGCATACTTTGAATTATTAATCATTGTGTTTAAACTGTCTCTATATCTTAATGCTTAGCTACCATTAGGATGTTTAGATAAGTAATCGGATGCAAGTCGGTCGGAATATCACCGGAGGATAAAGTATTGCTTCTTGTGGTTAATAATTGTTATTTCACCTAAGGAGAATTATCATGCTCTTAGGGATTGCATGGTTTTTCAAAGGGTTTTTACATAACTTAATAAGCCTTGCATGTTCATATTTGATATGAATATCACAAACGGGTTGCATGTTAGATATACATTCTTGCTTGAAATCATGAGGTGAATATGCATTAGGAAAACCTAACCTTCAAAGTTGTATGTGTAATTTATAAGTAATTGATAAAGTTACATAGAATTGTTAAGGTGACGACAGAACCCTAGTGTTTCTCAACTTTAATTTTCAAAATTGTTTTCTTTTGTTTCCTTTATTTTACCAATTTATTGAATTATTTTTATTTAAAATTCGTTTTTAATATTTTAGGTCACAAAAATAACATTTTTCAAACCTTGTTTTAAATAGTTAATTAAGAATTAGTTTAAATACAAATTATTCATTCAATCCCTGTGGAAAACGACTTTGCTTGAGCTGCTATACTACTATAACATTGTACTCTTGCAAATATTTTCTAGTGTTTTTATCCCTAATTTTTCGATTTTAATAAAATTCCTTTTGTTTATGGTTGTTCGTAACTAATTTCCGTTCGCTAGGGAAAGGCCATGAGCCTTAGCATGAATATGTAGTCTTTGTTCAATTGTTTATGATATTATACATGCATACTTTGAATTATTAATCACTGTGTTTAAATTATCTCTATGTCTTAATGCTTATCTACCATTAGGATGTTTAAATAAGTAAACATATGCAATTCGGTCGAAATATCACCGGAGGATTTACTATTGCTTCTTATGGTTAATAATTGTCATTTCACCTAAAGTGAATATCACGCTCTTAGAGGTTGCATGGTTTTTCAAAGGGTTTTCACATCTTAATGAGTCTTGCATGTTCATATTTGATCTGAATATCACAGACGGGTTGCATGTTAGATATACGTTCTCATAGTGGAGCCAAGGTCGGTGCAATGGGATTCCTTGACCCCAATAACCTTGTGGCCAAATTGTAGGCTCTTTTCGGCTAACAGTAAAAGGCAAAGAAAAATTGAAAGGCTAGAGCCTTTTCAGTGTCGAAAGCCCCAAACAAGAAAAAGGAGATGCTGCTCCATTTGTTAGCCATCACTAGGGGTGGGAAATTTTTCCATAAACCAATTTACCGATCGAACCATACACATTGGTTCATAATGGTATGGTATAGTTTTGGCATTTTTTCATAATCGGTTGGCATTATACCGAACCAACAATTAATGGTATGGCTTTGGTATTGGATTTTATATACCGGCAGTATGCCATACCTACCAATATATATATATATATTCTATTTAGATAATTTAGGTATTT